TGAAATCAGGGACCATTTTACCGAAATCTGCTAGGCTCTCTCGCTGAAGCGTTCCGCACAGCACACCCAGGCATAAAACTTTTAAGACTTATTTAAATATATCAAAGCAGCGAATAGAGAGAGCCTGGGACTAGGCTGGATATGACTCACTTAGTTCAATATATCTGCAATAGATGCACTCATGTTACTATTTAAATCACCAATGATATTATTTTCAATACCAAGGAACTCGATTTTATCTAAAATTACCTGAAGTTTGTCAAAGAGATCCTTGCAAGAATTAGGAGGTCTGTACCACGTTGATATTAGAAATGGTTTAACTTTAGGTTTATTGATCTCAACGGACAGAAACTCAAGGGCTTCATCATGAAGATCATTTCTGAGATTAAAATTAATTGAATTTCGGATATACATAGCTACACCGCCTCCGTGTCGTGTTCGATCGTTCCTAACTAAAGTGTATTTAACAATTGATATTTCTGAATTACTAATAGTTTCATCAAGACGAGTTTCGTTTAAGACCAGTATATCTAAATATTGATGTTGCATGCTTAATCTTAATTCATCGTTTAGCAATGTTTAGAAAAGTATTTTTGAAGCCTCTGTGTTTAGGTAAGTTGAAATCAGTTTGTTTGTGCGTATTAGAATCGCTTTTATCAACATTAGAAAAGGTTTGGTTAGACATACACTTGCTCGTGTTTAAAAAATGAAAACTGCATGTTTCGCTTGTTTGTTTGCAATACAAATATAAAGAAAATAATGTACCTGTTTCTCAGCACCTCCATGCCACAACAATAAGGACAACCCAGTGCTGAAAGTGCCGGGTTTCGGTATCTTAATAATATAGAAGTTGCCATGCTTAAAGCCCTCACATTTTTTTATCCTTCTCATCATATTCTTTTTCAACGGTGTGTTTAACTTTGCCTGACACGGCAGCGCGAAGAATTCTTTCCATAGTAGGTGCACGATTTTTTAGTTCAGAAGCGATGCAAGCATCTGTAATGTTTATTACATTATGAGGTGTAGAATTGGCCAGAATAGATGGGTTTCTTCGACTGCAAAGTCCTTTAAATTCATTGACAACATCCTTCTCAATTTTACACATGATCATGTCTTCAAGATCTCTTGAGTTCTACGGCATTTGCAATGGAAACACGTTCATTGTTAGCAACACCTCTTATGATCTTGGCATCTAACTCTTCAGTTATAGTTTTGCGCTTCTGTGTAGACGGATAGTCTATTGTCACCTACATTATAAACAAAAGCTCAATATTTAAAATTTTTTCAAGTATTGTACAATGTACAACTTTACTTTTATACTATAGCTCTTTTAATAGTTTTTACAGGTAAATTATAGTATTTGTATTTTTTAAAACTTACCTCTACCTTAGTTTTGGAACGATTCATAACTCTGTGTTGGGAATTCACAAACAAATCGTCGTGATTCGGAAGTTCTGTTAAAAACATAGGCGTTGCACTTGGCTGTAAAATATTTCGTCGAACTTCTGTTTCACACGCTTTTCTTTTCACGGGCTTTTCATTTTTTGGTGAATCTAAAAACTTACACCTTTTAAAGCGTTCACCAGAGTTCTCTTTGTCATTCACTATAAATGTTTTTTGCTCTTTAGCAGTTCTCCCAGCCGTTTCTTTAAATCTAACAAGATCGGCTGTTGCCTTTTCCAACCTTTCGAGGTTCCTCTTGCAGTTCAAACATATCGTAGAAGAGGTTCCATTTTTCGACACAGAAGTTTGGAGAATGCACGACAACCTTTCAGCAAGTTTATCCCGAACAGATTTGGCGCCTTGAAAAATGTTTCGCTTTTCTGACACGCGCCATCGAGGCGCCATCATGTCAACACTAGAAATTAGAAAACCGGTTTTTCTCTGACGTCATATCTGTAGTAAACACCAAAGTGTGGCTGGAGGCTCGTGTGACCAGAGCCTCCTCGTCGTGTCCTCACTTCATAAGAGGCTCTGGTACCCAGGGTAAACGAATCGAGTCCCAGCTCAGCAAAAATCTCTCACAATGGTCGTGAGATAATTTTGAACAGAACTAAAATCGATCTATTCTAAAACTACACCCGAGTAACAGACGAGTAACAAATAGCCTGTTGCAGCCCATTAAGCCTAAAACTAATTTTATTAGCAACTATCAACAATTCATTTTAAAATTTTAATCGACAATTGTTTTTCTATAGATTAAATGACTGTTGATAATGCTCACAAGTATTGCAACATGATTTATCAATATTGTTTTATTTAACATCAGAGGACTTTCCACAAATCTGTGGAAAATCCACATGACCAGAACAAGGAATCTTCATCTAACTCACAGACGTTCTCTCGCGCGCTTCGTCGAGGGAACCGTCTGTTCACAGGCTAGTAACAGACGATTACAGACGACTAAATTTTTTAAATACGACGAATAAACAGCAATTTGATGGATTTTTTAAATAAATTCTGATGCAATATTTTTCAAAATTGCGATTGGCGACTGTAGTATGTGAGAGTGAGAACTGTACTACTATAATTATTAAATTATTTGTAATTTTGGGTCAGTTTGGATCGTATTTGTGTAACGTAGTTTACGTTGTTGAGCAAAGTATTAAATTTTGGGTTTCAATCACGTGATGCTTTCAGTAGCATAATTTTACTCAAGTGGGGTACACAAGTACAATCCAAACTGACCCAAAATTACAAGTATTTCTATGATTATAGTAGTACAGTTCTCACCTTCACATATAACAGTCGCCAATCGCCATTTTGAAAAACATTGCATCATTTATTAAAGGGGCCCTACAGTAATTTTTTAGTCAAGTAAGTATTGTTTACAATTTTTTGTTATTGTCGCTACTTGACATGCGCATCACGGCATGCATGCGTCATCCGGTGTGCGGAAGTACTCATACTCATGGATACTAAGATACAGCCAAACGAGTCCGTGGAGTCCCCTACTTAAGGTGGCTTTTCGACTAAACAATGACTGTAGAGTCCCTTTAAAAACAATCCGTCAAAATGCTGTTTATTAATTAATCGTATTTAGAAAATTTACTTGTCTGTAGTTGTTTGCAATCGTCTGTTACTCGTCTGTAGTCGTCTGTTTCAGAATAGATCAACTAAAATCACCCTGTTATAAAGATTCGTGCTTCGTGCAAGTTATTTTCGACAGCATAAGTCAAGTCTCCATTTTATACCTTGAGAGCAGAGCCTGGTTTCCCCTCGCGGAGAAAATAAGGCTCGGGCGTTTGGGTGTTTGATTTCTGTTGAGCATGCTCTGTTTCCAATATGTCAAAATAATCACTTGTATTTTTAGAATGACTGGTACATTTTGAGAACCAATCGCATGCAGTTATAGTTACTTGCTGGGTGCGTGCGCTGCTAACCTGCTCACAGACGTATTCCTTACGCCAAGCGACGAAAAACTAACGTCTGCTGATCCGAGCTGCACATTCCATTCCTTTTGTTTTAGGATCCAATCATCTGGCAGTGTTCAAAAGAGTTAGAGCCAATTGGAAACCTTATTGAGGGATTAGCTACTGAGGAAAGCCCTTGCACGTGGGAATATATTGTTTGAGTTGAAATTTGTCTACTTTCGTGGATATATTTTGGAAACTATAGCGTTGAACATCACGATGTTTACGTAGAATAATATTGTGATCATCTTCTCGCATGTTCTGCAAACAGTCGGTGTATATAAAATGCAAAAGCAATGCATGCAGTAGGCCGCAGAAATTTAAATTTTTGTTAACAATGACAAACAAGCAATCGGGAAACTCGGGTATATCAGAATATCTCCAAATGTTGCTCTTTGATAACAGAGGGGACTTTCGTCTACGCATGCGCGAGAAACGTAATCGTGGAGTGCACGTGAGCGCGGTTTAATCGCGTGACTTGATTCTAAAAACAAACACCAAATTTGCCAAAACTACTCGTGTTATGAAGTCGTTTTCTTGTTTCTTTAGTGTTTCTACGCTCACAATTTTAGGCATTTCCAACTTAGAAGTGTTTGTTTTGGAATAAGAACGCGACAGTAGAAATAAAATCTTTGTTGCAGCAGTTTAATTTCGCCGTACAAATATACCTGTTTTATATGTATATCTTTTTCGAAGTAAGATATACAAGTGCAACTTGACCTTCTTTAAATTCGTACTTGCTCTATTTTTGACTGAATAAAAACTACTTTTATCCATGGAGAAACTATATTTGACTTTAAAAGTAAGTTTGAATTATGGTGGTGATATAGGCTAATTTCTTTGCAAAAAGTGATTCAGTACTCGGTAGTGTACTTGTTGTATATGAACAAAATTTTAAAATGAGTTCAACATCCATCAACCAAAAGGAGTCGCGCTTATTACTACTGTTTAGAAGATAGACAATTAATTTAATTCACTAGGAACCCGTTCTACAATATAAACTAGAAACCGGCCAACAAATTGTCAGTAACAAGTTTTTATCGAGTAGATCATCGTGTTATCAAGTCAAGGATTATGTATACTTTAACATAAAAGAGTAAATTAAAATACTGGTGATAAAGGGTAGATTTTGAATAAAATACGAATATCTGTATTTGTGATCTAAGCGTTATTATGAAGCACTCGATACTTTCTCATATTGCGCTTAATTTTTTACAAAATTTAAGACATTCACACATTAAATATATGAAAATGTAGCTTGCATTACAAAGAAATGTTGGCTTACCTAAGTTATACCTTACATGTCGATTAAAGCCGAGTAAAGCCCTTTGAAAGACGCGTGCCACATTAAACTACAGGTCACATGGCGGTAGAGAACTCTACGAAGTATTCAGGATATTTCATAGCCATTTTAAACGCCGCTGTATACTATTCCTGTGAATTATGATGCCCAACACACCGGGTAACAAAATTTACCACTTTGTTCGGCTGTTCCAAGTACACTTTTAAGATACAAGGTCCGATCATATCATGTTCTTCGAAGCATCTGCTCAAAACAGTCCAACATAAATATCGCCATGCCACTCATTTTCTTCGTATGAAAATCGAAGTTTGCCTTTCAATTGCTTTGCAGTTAAAAACAGTCATTAGGTTGTTGAAGAGTCAAGTTAGTCTATAACTTTCAACAAAAAAAACCAGATGCTTTCAAAAACCAGTGAATCACAATGCTGTAAACTTCAACATCCTTAGAAATTGTAAGCCAAACATCGAAAAGCAAAATTTGCGGGAAAAAGCTCACGAGCCCGCACTATTTTTATGCAGCGTCGACGAAAGTCCCCTCTGTTGCTCTTCACACTTCCTGTATATGCCATGGCTTCGACGAAAACTTCTAAAAGATTAAGCTCTCGTTGTCATGTAGAAAAGTACAGCCAAGTTAGAGTATAAACGTGTCGAAGTTTGGGCGAATTGGAAAATTCATCTCGGCGCAATTACAAGTTTCTCGGGTTTGTATTGTGTTTACAGTTCACGAATAGAAGTGGTTGATCAAACAGCAAACTCGTTACTTTGAAGCTATCACAGTATTATATATTATATATTATTTAGCGAAATATATTCGGCATTTGGTGCTGTCTGGCCCAGATTCGTACAGTATAATGCCATCCTGTCTGCGTTTTAAATATAACCGAATATCTTCAATATCCGAATCTGATCATTAATCAGTGGTGCATTTTATTACCTGGGCAAGTATAAGTATCCTTAAATTCAATTTATGTCCAATTTTGACCAAAATTCAACCGACGATTTCTTTCAAAATATTTATTTGTATAGTTATTCCGCTCCTAAGTCAACTGTTACTTTCCAAAATATAAAAGGTTCGCTGTCATTGGTCGATCGGAGGGAATAGAATGTACAGCTCGGGTCAGCAGACGTTAGTTTTTCGTCGCTTGGCGTACGAAATACAACGTCTGCGAGCAGGCTAGTGCACTGCACGTGCTGTGCAATTACAGCAATAACACAAAAACATTTTCAAATCTATTTTAGAATAGATATTATAGTGTTTGTCATTTGTCATTTGAAATCAAACTATTACTATAGTTTTACAATTGCTGGCTTGCTATTTTATTTTACCTGAATTTTTACAGTGCCTACAGGTTAACTTTTCAGTAAATCTAAGTGAAAAACCACACCCTTTTTAACCCTAATGTTTTGTGACTTGGTCACGCGAGGCAGGATGGAAAGGCAGAGACCTTAAACACAAATGGCTAGCATGCCTTCCAAGAATGCTTGTTCCTTATCAGGATATTTTCAACGCTCTTTCCAGAACAAGCTATATACGCCACAGGTAGATGCTCCTTTTAGATGCTTCTTCCTTCCACACACACACACGTTTGGGATATCTCCGCGGCCTTTGTTCCAATTGTGCAAAGTTTGCGGAAAGCAATTATATTTAGATCATTTGCTCTATTTCGTATGAGAATGACTTTTCTGCTAAAACGTTCACAGCAATAGGCTGTTAATATGTAGCAATACATGTACAGGGTGTATAAAAAAAACTGAACAGATATGAATTTGCGCTCAATTTCGCAAAACAGCTATTAGTATCCAGTTTTTTATGTATATACCTTCTTTGGGTACTTATAATGTAGAACAATGAAAAAAATTTCTCGAACTCAAATTTTGTGAACCAGGGGGATACAGTATGTCTTTTCCAACAAACTAAAAATGGCTTGCGCACGGAATTTAAAAGCTTTAATCATATTTTGAGTTAATAGATGCAACATGTTTTTAATTACTGTACAAATTTTCAGACAATTTGCTTCAGTTTAAGCCCTCTAACTATTCATTTTTTCCTAAAAAATCAGCCTTTCGCATGCTTAATTAATGCCTTTACCGCCTAATTTGCATATTGCTGACATATGCAAATTAGGCAAAGGCATTAAGTCAGGTCTTAAAATGTATATATACTCACTTGGATTACAAACCCTAACATTCTAATATTAATTCCACCAAGTGAAGTGCAAGAAAGTAAATCATTGAAGCATGCAAATAGCTGATTTTTAAGAAAAAATGCAAGTTTGCGTGAATAGAAAAGGGCTTAATACTAAGTCAAATTATCTGAAATATTGTACAGTAATTAAAAACCCAACATATTTTCAATCTATTGACTCAAAATATGAATAAAGCTTTTAAATTTCGTTCGCAAGCCATTTTTAGTTTCTTGGAAAAGAGACACACCCGTGGTTCACAAATTTGAGTTCCAGAAATTTTTTTCATTATTCTACATTACAAGTACCCAAAGAAGGTATATACATAAAAAACTGGATATTAATAGCTGTTTTGCGAAATTGAGAGCAATTTCAAATCTGTTCAGTTTTTTTTTTATACAGCCTGTGTAGTGGTGTCTGCTAATTCGTTGTTGTATCCATAGGTATCCGGATTACCGTGGTTACTTGTACATAAATGACGACATGATTGTGAACTGGTGGACATTCCACAAGCTTGATAAGGAGAAATTTTGGTTGGGTGGAAAATTTGTGGTACATGGAGTTCATACCATGTGGAAACGACCACTAATAACCAAATGGAGTTGGTGGAGGACGTCTGCAAAGCCTTGTGAAGACTCTTACTCAGAAATCATTAAACAATATCGCTCAAGTAAATATATAAATGTCACGAAATTGATAGAAACTCATCTTGCAAATGGCGAAGGAGTAAAGCGTTGTTTTAACACGTGGTCAGATCTATTTTATGTACCCAAGAAGTTCAGTGATCAGTGGCAGCGGATCTCTACTGTGTTTCATAAAAATCGAGTATTTTTGGAAGTTTCAGTGCCGACCATTATGAGTTTCATAGACTTACAAAGTTCATGGGAATTTCATTTGGGGTTGTATCTACCGGACAAGTATGGCTGGCGTAGGTTTCATGATGGAAAATTAGTTTGGGAAAGTTATAATTATACTATTAAATTTATGCATCCTGTTAAATATCATACGGCCGTATCGAAAATTAACGTAGAAAAGTTAAAGAATGACGTAATTCCTTATTCTAAACGGTTCTTAAAATGTTAGAAATATTCTAAAGAGAAGGTCGAGACTTTGGGGCATTTTGTTTAATGAAAACTTACAGTAGACATCTTTTTCTTGTAGAATGATGGAATGTTCGAACGCAAATGTATAAATCATATGTTTTTAATCCCAACCAGGAGCAAATACGTACAAAAAGATGCTCTGACACACTGATTTTAGTCACTTAATCTTTCAGCATCGCGTTTGAAAACGAACCGTGGTTAAATACTGATCGTAATGCAGCCACAGATTCATGAAATTAGAAACGTGTTATGTTAAACCAAAATGTTCAAGCCTGTAATTGTTTATGCATCAATTAGAAGATCTTGGTTAACATATATCACGCTTCTATTTTCATGATTTATGAATTTGTTGCGTAGACTATAATATATTTAATAATTAACCTCGGTTCGTCTTCAAAATTCAAACGCCCATGTTGAAAGATTTGGTGGTCAAAATCAGTGTGTCGCAGCATCTTTTTGTAGCGTATTTTACAAATTGAAGCCTCAGAGGTTGAAAATCTTTCTTGGAAAAGTAACACTGAGAGTATATGTAGTAAAATATCATCTGGTATATATGCTCTCAAACAAATTAAAACGTTTGTTGATATAAAAACACTCGTATCGGTATACAATGCTTTGATCCAAACCTATTTCAGTCATTGTTGTGAAGTATGGGATGTATTTGGCGAAACCCAATCTAAACGTCTGCAAAAGCTTCAAAACAGAGCAGCTCGCATCATAGTAAGTGTACCGAACGATGTTGATCAGCAAACTGTATTGGATTTATTAGGATGGAAAACATTAAAAGAACAACGATTAAAAACTAAAGCGATAACGATGTTTGAGATACTTCATAATATGGGGCCAAAATGCCTCAAAGACTTATTCATTTCCAAAAAAAATTAAATATTAAATCATAATCTCCGTGACAGCTCAACCACATTACGGTTGCCAAAGCCACGTACGAACAGTTTAAAAAAGAGTTTCATGTATGACGGCAGGGGCGACTGAAGTAAAAACTGCCTATTTAATTAAAAAAAAGTCGACTCCAGCTATCTATAGCGGCCAGTAGATCGAGTTTTTAAAATTTTGAATCATAATCCGCCCGTGCGGGCAAAGCGACTGCAATGGAAAATGGCCTTTAGAGGTGAAAAGCAAGTGCGCTAACCACTTCGCTACCGAAGCCCCGTTTTTCTAAATTGTCGTAAAGATAAAATAATCTAGGCTAAGTATGTAATTAGGTAAGCCATAGCCTATCGACGCGAAGATGGCTGTGAAAGTGGGCGTGGAAACATATTATGTTATTTTTATAATGTTTTGCTATCACGTGATCGTAAACCTGCATGAAAAACATGATATAAGTTTTCACAAAGTGTTCCATATTGTATTGCTTTGTTTTATTCCATTGAAAAATGCTATGCCAGGCGAAAATTGCAGCTTGTACGGATGTTCCAATAGCAGAAAGAATCCAAAAATCTTCGGAAAAGCTTCCCATTGGTCAATCTCGTTAACGGAAGTAATTACGTAACTGAAATGTCAACAATAATTTTGCTCGCGTATCGAATAGCGATAGCCGTATATTTCTCACACAAATATGCCTGTTAATGCTTTGGAGCAAACTCTTTCTTATATTTCAAGTATATAGGCTTCGAAATTCAGTTGAAACCAGAACAGAGAAAGTCTATTATTAATTGGCTACGTGGTGAAGACGCCAGTTATCGCGATTCTTCCTACGGGATACGGAAAAGTTTGATCTTTCAAATTCAATTATATATTTATATCGGCAAATTAAAGCTTGCTACATGCTATTTTAATAGCTTTGATGCCAGCACGAGCAGGGATTGAATATTTCTTATAGTTGTCTTGTTATTTGTCGTGACATTACTTGGCATTGCAGCTATGAAGTTGGATAATGATTTCAAGAATAACATTTCAATACACGCTCAACTGTTATTTGGTTCAGGAGCCTTTTAAAGGATAAAAGCTCTGTGTTGGGACCGTTGTCTAAAATAGCTTAAAAAAGTCATTAATAATTCATGAGGAAAACGCAAGGAAAAATCATAAACGTGTCGTATCTTTATATGTGATAGGGATTTCCCTTGTTTACAGGATTGGCAGGTTTGCTGAATAAAGGAGTGGTCATTATTAATGGGAGGGGGGGGGGGAATGGGGAAAATAAGGATTGAAAACTTTTTTGACCCCCCTCCAGACTGAAGGCAAACTTGTTGTGTCTCCCCCCTCATAAAAGTAGAAACTTTTCTGACCCCCAGTGTGGATTGAAAAATTAACAGCAATGAAACAGGTGTGCATTGCATGTAAAGTTAGATATTAGGACAATCTGTTTAATCTAGCTCATGATGTTTTACCCTGTGAATATGATTCAACCATATATGATTAAAAAATATATATTATGTGTTACTACTTTGCAATGCAACATTTGTCCTACCATAACCCTAACCCATGACCCGTCTTCATACAGCGAAATGATTTGAACACAGGTTTTTTTTAAGAACTTGTCTGGGGGGGTGGGCATCTACAAAAAGGGACCATACTATATTGAGTGTGGAGAGATGACAGATGGTTGTTGGTGACAAAAAGTTTGGTGTGGTATCGTATGTACTAGTAGGGGGGTCTGGGGGTATTCTCCCCCAGAAAATTTTTTGTATTTTTCCACCCCTAGAACTGAAATGTGAGCATTTTCTGAAACAGATTTTTGGATATACAGCGTTACATTGTGCGTTGATAGACTGAATCTGATCAGTTAAGTGTACTTGCATGGTATGTTTATGTAAATACCACAACTGGGTCACTCAGGGGGTAGAAAGCTTGTTAAACTTAGTGGGCCCAACTCTCACGATCGCGAGGCGCTACCATGGTTGGCGCTGAGCAGTAATTTTGAAAATTTTGAGTCTCTAGATCGTTAGAAATAGCATTTTCAGAGTCTTCTTTTTTGCTATTTGTGATTATAGAAATCAGAACTCTAGACATGGTATTTAAGTTCAAAAACTTTTATGACCCCCCCCTTTCTCTGTGTTAAAACTTTTTTGACCCCCCCTATTTATAGGGGTAAAACTTCGTTTGCCCCTCCCATTTCCCAACACCCCCTCCCCATAAATAATGACCACTCTCTAATCACAAAAGAAGACTCTGAAAATGCCATTTCCGACGATCTAGAGACTCAAAATTTTCAAGATTTCCCTGCTCGTTAGTCGGGCCCACTAACTTTAACAAGCTTCTTACCCCCTGAGTGACCCAGTTGTGGTATTTACATAAACATACATACCATGCAAGTACGTTAGTAAGTTAACTGATCAGATTCGGTCTACCAAAGCACAATGTAACGCTGTATAACCAAAAATCTGTTTCAGAAAATGCTCACATTTCAGTCCTATAGGAGTCAGGAGTGGAATAATACAAAAAATGTTCTGGAGGAGAATACCCCCAGACCCCCCTACTAGTACATACGATACCACACCAAACTTTTTGTCACCAACAACCATCTGTCATCTCTCCACACTCAGTATGGTATGGTGCCTTTTTGCAGATGCCCCCCCCCCCCAGACAAGTTCTTAAAAAAAGCCCTTTGTTCAAATCATTTCGCTGTATGAAGACGGGCCATGGGTTAGGGTTATGGTAGGGCAAATGTTGCATTGCAGGAGGGTGGGAAAGGGGGGGATGGATCACGTTTCACAACGAAAAAAAAGGCCGTTTCACGATTCACGTTTCTTAAAAAAGCAATTTCACGGAAAACTAGATTCTAATAAAATAATATAATAATAACGGGTTTATTAAGAGTATATTTAATGCATGGTACAACCTGTCAGTTAAAAACTACATCATAACTTAAAAGTTTGAGTGACGAGCATGTCCGACGACCTCCGAAAGGCCTCCGAAGTTTTTACTCTTGTGCAATCGAGTAAGATCATATAAATCATTATCGCGTATCATGTCTATTATGACTATTATAAAATAGATCGAAATAAACAAAGAAAAATCACAGTTCACGAAACAGACATCCTTAATTCTCATTTCACGGAGCATTTTTATCGACAATCACGCCTCACGGCTGTAGAACAAATCACATTTCACGACACTAAAATCAAGCATTTCACGCAAACAAATATTGACCATTCAAGGGTCACAAAAATACCCTTTCCCACCCTCTTGCAGAGTAGTTACACATAATATATATATTTTTAAGCTCTTTTAATCATATATGGTTGAATCATATTCACCAGGATAAAACATCATGAGCTAGATTAAACAGATTGTCCTAATATCTAACTTTACCTGCAACGCACACCTGTTTCATTGCTGTTAATTTTTCAATCCACACTGAAGGAGGGGGGGGGTCAGAAAAATTTCTACTTTTATGAGGGGGAGGCACAAAAAGTTTGCCTTCAGTCTGGAGGAGGGGTCAAGAAAGTTTTCAATCGTTATTTTCCCCATTTACCACCCCCCCCCCATAAATAATGACCATTCCCAATACTGGTCTGCTACTCTGCCAATCTCGTACCCAGAGCCATCGTTGCTACTCTGTTGGTAAATAATGCGCAGATTTACTAGTCAACTAGCTAGCCAATCAGAACCACTGATTTAGTACAGATCAGCCGATCAGAACGGGTTGAGATAAAACGCGGATACGGACGGACGGACACGCGGACGGACAGGCGGACGGACCAAAAGGATAAAATGCGGATGCGAACAAAAAGAGTAAAATGCGGATTCGGACAAAATGGTAAAATGCGGATCTGTTTCATTGTCCTAACATAATTCGTTATTCCGGAGACACAATTCATAGACTACTAACACGGTGAATTCCAGCTGGAGTTTCGGCCGCTTGTCGAAAATGCATTATAATTTCATTTTAATTCGTATATGCAAGGTCATAGAGAATTGTGTTGGGTTTTTTCTCCCCGTAGTAAATTAAAATACCATAACGGTGGTGTTGATTTCTGGATGAAAACAGCATGAAAGCAACATCATAATATAGGAAATGCACAGAGCTAGTGCTGCCTTACCCGCGATATATTTTACGGAAATCCCAACGCATAACAACAAGGTATTAGTGAGCTTAAGCAAGTGACGTTTTTGACAACACGGACGTCGACCGGAAGTAAAGTTGACGTTTTTCACCAATCACAGCCCTTGACCCAGTCTTCTGCCGTTCGTATTGTCAAAAACGTCACTTGCTTAAGCTCACTATTACAACAGGGTATTACGTCAAGGTATTACGAATGTAATAATCAATATTAAAATACATGTAGTTATGCAAGGAGGCGGCTGGTTAATTTTGCAAGTTGCAGGTTTGCAACTCCCTACATCCAGACGATAAATGAGATCAGTAACTGATCTCCACTTCCGGTTTTCAGCATGATCTCTGTGGCATGATCACAGAATAGGAAGGTACAGCAGAAGTGTAACTCAAGCAAGTGTAACTCAAGCACGAACACATACGATTGTGATGATGTACGAACTTTTAAAACGATTTGCCCGAAATGCAATAGAGCAAGGACTTTAACGAACTCGATGAACTGTTGTTTTTAGTCTCTATGGTTTAATTGTTATTTGTGTTATTGATATTTGTCTCTTAACGTTTTGGGCCCGCAGTAATTGGTTTCAGGCTGTTGCGGATACCCAACCATCAACTCAGTTTATGTCATTGTGTTATGTATGTATATGTGTGTATGTATGTGTATGTTTCTGTACAGTAGTGATGGAAAAGCAATTAAATTTAAAAACAATTAAGTATTTGTCCGCGTTTTTACAAGCAATTCGTCATCAATCACGCCATCCTGGCTAGTACAACCGGCACTTTGACACTTTGTACCTACCAAAACCTGATAAAAATTTCCGGTTGTACTAGCCAGGATGGCGTGAGCGAGTTAAAATTTTCGTGGACATAAAACAATAAAGGAACCGACTGTACCTTCCTATTCTGTGGCATGATGGAGGCCGTGGGCTGTTGGCCAAAATTATTTCGCTTCGTGGCACCCATGTGGGAAATACTTGGTTTGGGGTTTATTTGAAAGGCATATAGGTACATCACTACCAAAAAAAAATTTCCCAAGCAAAAAAGTTGCCCAATCCCGAGAAAATAGGTGATCAATGATTATCCTCTATTAATAAATTGTATTACAGCAAAAAAATGGGAAATTCTGTATTCAATTGCAATAAAAATGACTGCATCATCGGAAACGTACAAAAAACCGCATATAAGGCTTTTAAACAGTTTTTTGATTTTTCAAATAGTCTTCGAGTTATTGCTGTTTTAAATGTGAAAATTGGACCAACATTGGAAAAATTGTGAAAATTGGACAATTGTGAAAATAGTGAAAATTGAACATTGTGAAAATTGGACCAAAATTGGACCACATTAAAAAAAGGTAAAAAAAATTTTCCGGACTAACATCTGTTAAGTTTAAGATTTAAAAAAATATTTTCCGAACAAATTCTTGTTAAAACAGAGGTAAAACCCTTTTTTTGGACCAATATCTGCAAAATTTAGGTTTAGAAAATTTTTTTCACACCATTATTTATATAAAAAAACGTTCCAAATTATTATTTTTTATTTTCCAATTGGGGGCCCGGGGGCAAATTCCCCACCGGGGCAAATTGCCCCCTCTGCCCCCCCCCCTCCCCCTCTGATAGGCCCTAATTATTTCATATTTATTACAGTAATACAACAGGTACATTATAAATATTATAAAGAGCTTTCATTGCCAGTAGCTTTGTAGCTTGATCTATGCTTGAGAGATCCAGCTTGTATTAATAAACACACGCTGTTGTGAGACATCAAATATATAAGTATCAGTCTTTACACTTAGCATCCAACTATGCCGCACTAGAGACAACCAACCTGTCGATATATCAATAGAAACTTTAAAATGCTTATAACATTTCATAAAAGTAATGATATGTCTGTGCGAGAGTTTGTGCGTATATAGATAGAGTTTATGAATTATGTATATATGAATTTTTTTCTGTGTTGGTGTTGTGTACTCAGGTGAATAATATGTTTGCGATGTTACTCTGAGTGCATATCCACACCGGGCGAGCTTGAAAAATATGCCCGGCCACGGTGGGATTCGAACCTACGAATTCGTTTAAAAAAAAAAAAATTCATATTACAAGAACACATTGGTATTGAAGGAACTAGATACTGTTCCGAAATATCACTTACTCGAACCGTCCTGACCGCGTAGCTCAGTTGGAAGAGCATTGGGCTAGTACTCCAAAGGTCGTAGGTTCGAATCCCACCGTGGCCGGGCATATTTTTCAAGCTCGCCCGGTGTGGATATGCACTCAGAGTAACATCGCAAACATATGTATATATGGTAAAAGTAGTTATGCAATAACTACATGTCTGATACTATTATACTGAGTTACTTGGTCTACATATCTTTTAAAATTTGTTCTCATTGGCTGTTTTATTAACTTTCAAAAACTAAAAAAATCGCGTCCGGTGTGTCTGGGCCTTAAGAGGAAATAATGTGTGACTACATTTCTCCGAAACACTGTGATTGTCATGGGAGGTGCAAATGAAATTAAGATACTATGTTAAATGAAAGATAGAAAGTTTTAGATTTGATCATTATGGGTGGCTACGATGAACTTCCAGAAATGCATGAAGATGGACAGCTACTGCAGTTGCATGCTAATCATGTATATATTGTATATAATGACTAATGTTTTTAAAATCATACAGTAAATTCTCTATTATGCCCCTACCATTGCTACCAAAGAATAGTCAAATAACACCCTGCCCCTTTGGTGCAGAGTGAAATGGTACCAAGTCTTCTTTTCTTGTAAGCCTTTCTCTCTTTTAAAGCCCTCTTCCTTTTAGGCTCCCCTTTCTCTTTTAACTCACCCCCCCTGCTGGCCATGAAAGGCAAAGAAAAACATTTTTTAATATTTGTCAGCATGTTTTCGCTTGGTACGTCATTCATCAATAATGGCAAATCATATTTGTTGACACAAACCAAATGTTGAAATTATACCGTGTAATTTCAGACGCGAGCTCTTCCGTTTAAATAAACTTAGCTCAAACTCAATTAACGAGGAAATTAGCCAACTATACTCTCTTTATTTTGTTTACACGCTCCCCCAGCGTGCATACATTTTGCATCTCTTAATTTCCCACCGTAAAAAATTCGTGTAAGACTAAAAAAATGCCCAACTAATATGACATAGCCTGCGCAGAACCTTTACCTCTAACAAGCTAAATATGACAAGCCTTTGTGGAGGAGTGACGAGTATACCGAATCAAGAAATTGAATCTCACACTGACCGACTGTAGCCTGCGTAACAGGCGGTATATTTTGCATGCACGAGAGAAAATTTAAATTGACTGGCTCGGATCAACTCGAGTTTCATGAGCTGCACTAAAGCGAAGTTCAGTAGCGAACAGGAAACTAGAGACCTTAAGATTAACGTTTACGGCAAACGTCAAACCGCTAGCGAAGTTTTTGATTTTACAACTCTATTATTATAGCTTTCACACCAGTTTTGAAATATGTTAAACTTATTAAACTTGTGCTCTTTATCAATGATTTAAGAAAGCAAATTAACCACTAGTCATGCCATTCACCAAAGCAGTAAATTAAGATTTGGCGTTTGAAGTTGACGTTTGGCGTATAAATTTCATGCTTGAACTGCTACGAGGCTTGTAGTCGTTAAAGCATGAAATTTATACGCCAAACGTCAACTTCAAACGCCAAATCTTAATTTACTGCTTTGGTGAATGGCATGACTAGTGGTTAATTTGCTTTCTTAAATCATTGATAAAGAGCACAAGTTTAATAAGTTTAACATATTTCAAAACTGGTGTAAAAGCTATAATAATAGAGTTGTAAAATCAAAAACTTCGCTAGCGGTTTGATGTTTGCCGTAAACGTCAATCTTAAGGTCTCTACTGACATAAAAACTGTTACGCCAGACATCTACAGTGCATGTTCAGGCTAGCTGTTCAAAGATGGCCTTTAAACCTAAATTGGGGCTAAAAAACCTTCAATCGTATCGTAACGTATCGTAGCATTTTCTTTTGTGTCGAAGTCATTATCATCATTAGTTCCACTCTAGTGCTCAGGAAACAAAGAAAAACGTTACGCTTCGGTACGATACGGTTGAAGTGGAAAACGGCCTTTAGGAGCGAAATTTCCGGGAAAACATTGTTTAAACTAGCCTGTGCTAGTAAAATATCCAAATGGCCATTCCGCCACGGATCACTGATTAAGCATTGGGGAAAAGGAAGGTCCATTGTTTCCAAATGAAACACGGAAATGGATCCGCAGCAGAAAGCCACAAGGATGGGAAACAGAAGGGTGGGAGGGTGGGCGTTTTTACAACACACAAGAGTAAACAACACCCTGACGCAGCCCCCTCCTTCTCGCCCCCCCCCCTCTCCGGTCCTAATTTCTTTGTCTTACACTTTCTCTGTCTTGGCGATCAGCACAGAAAGAGCAGTTACAACCTGTAAACTAGGGTTTTATGCATTGTACATCATTATTTATTCATAAAACAACGTTAATTACTCAAATTCCATTAGTTAATCAGCTTCCGCGGCGTGTTTGGCCAATTTGAATAGTAAAATATCCAAATGGCCATCCCGCCACGGATCACTGATTAAGAATTGGGGAAAAGGAAGGTCCATTGTTTCCAAATGAAGCACGGAAATGGATTCCTCCGCAGTTCAGTTACTACTCGCTCCCAACACTGCATCTCCCCCATATACCCAAACCCCCATTCTCATGTACCCAAACCCCCATTCTCATATACCAAACCCCCCTGCTCAAATACCCTACAACCCCGCCGATTCGCATGTGCCACACACACAAACCAAACTATAATCTATTAAGCAAACAAACCGGCAATGGACAGTATGAAAAAAAAATGCAAGTGAAAAGCGATAGGTGGACTAGCATGGTCAAGCGACAATGAACGCAGAGAATAACCCGGAACTGATGCCACAGGTCTGGTCCCCGGGAGAAACTTCCACCCAATGACTCGCTTCGTAAGACGCTCAGAAGCTGCTAACGGAACAAAGTGTAGCGAGTGGCGAGAGAAAAGATGAACAGAGAAGTAAATCCCCAAAGCACCCCCCGGAAGGACCAGAAAAGGGCAACAGTCCCGGCACAACTGCTAGAGTCGAACACAAAGAGCTTTAGATAGCCCTGGGAAAGTTGATCCCCACCAGCCAAGAAAGAAAAAAGAACCCAAGAAATGCAAACGAAAACCAGCGAACGAGCGCAAACACAAGATCAGTAATTTCATACACACTCGAAAAACATATATTGCCCAAGAATTGGGTGATTCGCGTATGGCAAGGAAGGTATACTGTTCTGAATCGCCAAAACATTGGCCCTTGTCTTTCCAATCCAAATGCAGTAAGCGCGTGCGCTCGGTCTCAAGCAATCATGTATTGTGAGATGCATCTCTTGCATTTGCAATGTTCGTGCTCAATCCCAAGCAATCATGGATTAGTTCTAGTGGGAGATGCATTTCTCTGCTTGCCCAAACATATGAGCAACTGACCACTAAACAAATTCCGTAACTGCGAGACGCCGCTCCCGCGCATGCACGAAACTCATTGACAAATGATTTCCAAATTCCAATTCAATGGCTGCCATGGTTCGTCCCAAGCAATCATGTATGGTAAAATGCAAGCCTCTCATTCGCGAAACCCTGAACATGCTTTTTCCAATCCTAAGTCAGTAGCGACCCTTACTCGGTCACAAGCAATCATACAATTGCGAGATGCCCTTCGCCCATACGCCAAACTCATTGGCCACTTTGCCTTAAAGCCAAATTCAGCAGCTACTCGTGCTCGGTAACAAGTAATCATACAATTGCGAGATGCACTTTTCGTATACGCCAAACACATTGGCAACTGTGTTTAAAATCCCTATTCAGTAGCTACTCGTGCTCGGTCTCAAGAAATCTAGCATTGCGAGATGCACGTCTCATACGCCAAACCCATTGGCAACTTTGTTTAAAATCCCTATTCAGTAGCTACTCGTGCTCGGTCTCAAGCAATCTAGCATTGCGAGATGCACGTCTCATACGCCAAACCCATTGGCAACTTTGTTTAAAATCCCTATTCAGTAGCTACCCGTGCTCGGTCTCAAACAATCTAGCATTGCGAGATGCACTTCTCTCATACGCCAAACACATTGGCAACTGTGTTTAAAATCCCTATTCTGTAGCTACTCGTGCTCGGTCTCAAGCAATCTAGCATTGCGGGATGCACGTCTCATACGCCAAACCCATTAGCAACTTTGTTTAAAATCCCTATTCAGTAGCTACTCGTGCTCGGTCTCAAGCAATCTAGCATTGCGAGATGCACGTCTCATATACGCCAAACAAATTGGCAACTGTGTTGAAAATCCAAATTCAGTGGCTACTTGTGCTCGGTCTCAAGCAATCATGCATTGCGAGATGCACGGCTCTCATACGCCAAACACATTGGCAACTTTGTTGAAAATCCAAATTCAGTCGCTACCCGTGCCCGGTCGCAAGAAATCATGCACTTGCGAGATGGACTGCTCTTACATGCCAAACACATTGGCAACGTTGGTTAAAATCCAAATTAAGTAGCTACTCGTGCTCGGTCTCAAGCAATCATGCAATTGCGAGATGAACTTCTCTCATACGCCAAACACATTGGCAACAGCTAAATCCATAGAAGAATTTGTGCTCGGTCGCAAGCAAGCAATTATGTAGTGCGAGATGCACGTCGGTCATACGGCAAACATAGTGGTCCTCTTTCGCTCAAGCAAATGCAATAAACTACGGAAGCTCGGAGTGAATCAATCATGCAGAGCAATTCGCTCCCGTCCCATACCATACGAAAACACAATACCCAATAACCATTTTATTAAAGGCGAAAGGTAATCACTATAGCCTAGCTGTTGTTCTTTTCAACAATTGAATCTTGCGAAATACACGACCCGCTCGCGTAGAACATTAACAAAATGAACAATGCTAAAACCAGACGGGAATCATTCATGCGTCGCAATCTCAACTGAACTAAAATATGAACCGAAAGCGAACTTGACGGTAAATAACCCCGCACAAGGACGGAAATAAGACACATCAAATGAAGATATAATGTATAACATACAACAGAACTGTAACTAAAACCACAAGTGTAAGCGATCGTTAAACACACAGAAAAGAGGCTGCCGTATTTTCCGATCAGCCGCCCACGAGTGAACCATGCATGCATGCGCTATACAACGAAAAATAACTTCGCCACACCGATCAAGTACTGCTAACAAAGCGATATAACTACCCAAAGGGCAAAAATTTTAACTAGACCCACAAAAAACACGCTACAATACAGACAAATACCAATATTAATAAAAGAATCACGTCCAAGTCCAAGTTTGATGCCTGAAGCTGTTCATTTTCAATTGGATCATTCACCGGCGAAAATGGTTCATTCTGAGGTGGAGCGGAATCAAGATCAATCGGTTGGGCAACAGCATTAAGTCGCAAGTACCGCTTCTTGTAACGTGCAAGGAGGTCGAACAGGCGTGGAGCCATACTGTAAAGTCCGTAAATTTCTTTATCTTGCACTTCTCTGTCTTGGCGATCAGCACAGAAAGAGCAGTTACAACCTGTAAACTAGGGTTTTATGCATTGTACTCATTATTTATTCATAAAACAACGTTAATTACTCAAATTGCATTAGTTAATCAGCTTCCGCGGCGTGTTTGGCCAATTTGAATAGCTATAGCCATAGGACCTTCATTGTTTGTCCTTAATCTGGCCCACTAGTCACAAATGGGGCCTGTTCTTATGACCTGGCTAGGCAGGAGACAACATTTGCCAGTATTGTCGATATACTATCCTGCTACTATCCTGGCTAAGCACGACTAGGTATCCGTTGCAGAATCCCAACTATGCAAGCCAAGAAATTCACCATTTACAGTAAACATTCTATTCCACAACCAGGCAACATGAACTTGCCTTTAGGGTCCCATGCTGCCTAGCCCAGATCATATCAACAGACCCTTAGCAGATCCTGAAACTATACAATTGGAATATTTTAGGTCATAATCTTGTAGAATCAACCAGGTATTGTCAGTAGAATAATATCACACCGGGCAAGCTGGCTTTCCCATTTATATGGGCTAAATATACACCTGCCCATGGTAAGATACTGCCTCGTATATTAATTTTATATATGTTTGAGATTGCATTCACATGAAACAGCCTGGTTGAATTTATTGGCCCAGCATCCGCTTGAGCAAGTTGATATCCTGCATTGGGAGTCTCACACTAATAAAGGTCATAAGCTGGTCAACCAGCTCACTCGACTAAAAATCATGTTATAATACACAATTTGGCCCAAGTAAGTAAGAAATTGATTAATATAAGCCTTTTGAAGCTGTTGCCTTAAACAATTTAACCAGCATTTCACACAAATTTCTTGCCAACACTTGCCAGCTAGGTTAGCTTGACTCCTGTGAGGCAAATGACAAACTAGCCCTGAAAAGAAAATCCAGCCATGTTTGCTGGGCTAGCATGGCCCATTTTGACACCTCTTAACAGGGAGAGCTTATTTTTGGAAGGGAGATCTGATTTTTGGAAGGGAGGCCTATTTGTGAGGTTACTGGGTGCTTAATATTGGATTGCATTATTATATAATATGTGTAAAATATTCATTTGTGCACAGGTATTCTGGTAATGCACAAATTTATGTACTAAAATGTTCTATTATAGTCTCGGGATCTATTGGGGACCTGCATGTTTATATGATCTAGGCTATCCAGAACACTACCTATCATGTTGCCTGTTTGGGATACAGTGCTTATTGCCAGGATTCTGGCAATGGAAACCTCGCGCTTAGCCAGGCCGATAGTATAGCAGGATAGGATAGGACATACTGGCAAATGTCGTCGCCCACCTAGCCAGGTAATATGAACAGGGCCCAATTGTGACTAGTGAGCCAGATGAAGTAAAAACAATGAAGTTAATAATTATATGTCCATAAATTTTGATACCTGAACAGCAACATTGAACAAAATCATTTTGTCCCAAAGTCATCCATCTTCCTTAAGTTTAGGACACTGAGACCAATGAATATATTGTCATTCAAGGATTAAAACAATGAAGACAAGTGTTATGGTCAAACAAACGAAAATATTCATGTCCACAGGCTGCAACACGCAATGTTGACACATTATCCTGAAGTCGACAAAATGTCGAAATCGACGAAAAACGAGCCAAGAAACAGTTATTGAGCTAATCAATCAAATAAATACTTGGCAAAATTTGAAGGTCCATAGTCCAAATATTTGGTGAGTTTCTTTAGCCCATTTATACCAACAAAATTTTAAAAATTCCCTGTATTTAGATACGAACCATATTGATCGCCACGCTGTTTAGCAAGAAATCGACATGTCAACTTGTCCCGGCCTTGTCCTGTTTACTTGTTACACTGGATATTAATAAGTTAATGTGAAAATATGAAGATAAAAGTATCTTTTAAAAAATAAAACTTTTCAAACCTCGATTTGAAAGGCTTTTAAAAACGCTAATCCGTTCGGAACCTACAAATTCGAGGGGTGGTATTTAAGCTTGCGCAAGGCAAAGTTTGAAGACCCATATCTTCGCAATCACGCAATTAATCAAAAATCGCCACGAGGAAGTTGAGGAGAATTCTTTTAAGAACAACATATATCAATTTCATGGAAAAAAACAACAAAAAACCGCTTGCAGAAAAGCTCTGAAGTAACCCCATATGTTTGCTTACAAATTTCATGTGATGAAGCGTTTTACGCATTCTGATTGGCTTAGGGAAAAAATGTAAACAAAAGCGCTGATTGGTCGAGAACGAAATTCCCCCTTGTTCAGTTTATATGATGCCGTGTTCTAGCCGTAATCGCTTGTCACGATATCAACTCCTAATGTTTAGGCCATATAATTAATCTTGCCATATCAAAAAGGTTTCTATTTGTTATTCTTGTTTCATTTGGTCATACCCTCTTGCTTTAGCGCTATTAAAAGGGGTTAGTATTATTTCTTGACAACCGATTGAGGCAAGAAAATACGACAATATTGTCAATATATACAACAGAAAATATATCAAGAAGGACAGGCAGTCAGATGGTACATAAACCGAATGTTTACAATGTCTATGTAATACTGTCCAAAATATTTAAATTTTGATTTAATATTGCTGTTGTCTGTTGACTGATAATCCAATATACGCTATTTATAGAATACAATTTACATCATTACATGGAGTATATACAAGTTTGTTTATTTGCACAAATGCAGAATATTAAAAATATAAGTTCTTTGTATGTTTGCATGGTGAT